GCACAGCACTTCGGAGCGTTTGCTCCATGGGATGAGATGAACGTGGCAACGAAGGTGACGCTACCGAACGTAAGGAAAGGGGATCCGATTGCGGTCATCTACATTCCCAGTGCAACCCTCGCGCGGTATGGAGCTGGAGTCGCGGCAAATGGGACATTCATGGTCTTTGACGTGATCCCGTTCTATGAGGTCAAGTCCATTTGGATTGGCAAAAGCAACGGAGGGAAGCGCCTGGAGTACGCTGACATCAAGAGGGCGTACTCGAAGTGTGTGGAGAACGAGATCTGCCCTGGCTTTCGTCAACTCATCCCAAGAGTCGGCTGCGATGTTCCTCCAGAACGTCACAAAGATCAGCGAGAGGATGCCGGAGACTGAGACAGGTGCCGATAATCTGCACTACATCGTTGACATGGTTAATCGTGCTTGCGAACTCTATCGAAACAACAAGATGGAAGAGTTCAACGCACAGGTCAACGAGGTCCGGGACGAAGTCAGCAAAGTCGTCATCCTGAATGATGAGACATGGGAAGGACTGAGGTGCCGGATATGTCCATCATGTGCGACCGCGATCCCCACCTGCTTCTGCTTATGCCTGGAGTGCGAGGCACAACTGATCTCCATCGGAAGGTACTACATCCACATCAACTCCGATGACGAGGAGGAAAACCAAAACCCCAACGTCTCTGGAGATGCCAGGCGTGCACAGGAAGAAGCTAACCACGATGCGGCAGCACAGGAAGATGATGACGAAACGGAGGAAGTTCCGGGAGAAGATGACGATATGGACACGCAAGGATATACATCCGGCTACGCGTCAGAAGAAGAAGACAGCGGTTGGCATTACCGCGACACTGATCTGGCGTCACGGGACATTATAAGTTCCCAACGGATGGCGATCTGCCTTGACGAGCCGCGTGAGGCTCAGTACATGGCAGGATTTATCGCACTCCAGATGTCCAAGATGTGGGGGATGTTTGAAGGTGGTGAGGAGAGAACAATGAATGCCGGACTCGAAGGGAGGCCGGGCTGCCCTTATCACAATGACTTCAAGAGGTACCCCAACATCACCGATCAAGATCAGGAAGGTATACTCTTGCCGTCAACAGCGAAGAAAATTTCTCAATCGGAGAATGTCCGGACAAGATCCTTCCGATCGGTTGAGGAGCGAGAAGATTATATTCGTATGATGGTGTGCAAATGCGAGGGACTTTACACATTCTACAAGCTGTGGATAGCAGCGAGAATCCTCGATGTCACCAAGGAAGAAATGAAGCTCCTGGTCAAGGACCGAGTGCACCCGGTGGGTGATATTATTGTAAACGCTTCGCGTTGCCCGCCTCGGCCCAGCCTAGTTTGAGGGAAGGGTCAGGAACACCGAAATCCAGTGTTGGGAAGGTCCGAATACCTGAAGCTGGCTTCAGACAAGTCAGACAAGCCGGCCTCGCCTGGTTGGGCTGGGCCACAGGCTAGTCTCAGACACATCAGATAAGCCTGCGCTGGGCCTGAAGCTAGTCTCTGGCAGCTTGGCTGGACCTTGCTTGCGTGGGTTGTTGGTTGAGCTGAAGCTAGTTTACGGCGGGCTGGGCAGCCGCACTGAGGGGGCTGGGCTATGGCTGGGCCAGTTTCAGACACGTCAGACAGGCCTGGCCAGCAGGCGGACTGGGGCTGGGCTAGACGGTAGTTGAGCCCAGGCTGGTGAGGCCCAGTCTCGGCGCTAGATAGCCTGCGAGTCTCAAACCGGGTGGGCTTGGGTGGGGTTGGCTTAGGTAGTCTCAGCCACGAGGCTGCGAAGCCTTGGGTGGTGCTGGGCAGCTGGATTATGGTGTTGGTTGCGCCTGGAACTTCGGCTGGCTGGGCTGAGCTGTGCTTGGGCGGGTCGCTGGATGGGCTGAGGCTGGGTAGCGAGTTGCTGGCCAGGCCGGGCCTCAGCCCAGTCGCAGACACGAAAGACACGCCAGCAGGCGGGCTGAGGGACTGGGCCTGAGGCTAGTCTCAGGCTGGCATACCTTGAGACCAGTCTCAGACTGCGCTGAAGGGGCCTGGTCAGCCTGGGCTGCTGAGTAGCTGGCATAGCTTGAGACCAGTCTCAGACTGGTCGTTGGCCTGAGGCCAGTCTCAGACACGTTAGACAAACCACACTGGGCTGAGCCTGCTGGTCTGGGAGTTGGGGGCTGGTAGTGGCTGGCATGCTCTGAGATGCGCTGGGGCCTGGGCTGGGCAGGCTTTTGGCTAGTCTCACACAAGGCTGCGAAGCCATGGGTGGGTTGCTGGCTGCCGGGCAGCCGGACCAGGCTGCTGGTTGTGCCTGGAACTTGGGCTGGGCGGGCTGGGCTGAGCTGTGCTTGGGCGGGTTGCTGGATGGGCAAGGCCTGTTTCATACACACTTGGGCCTGAGGCTGGGTGGCGAGTTGGCTGGGCTGGGCCTGAGGCCAGTCGCAGACACGCCACACTTTGAGACGGGGCCTGCTGGCTGATTTGGGGCCAGACGCGAGCAGGAGGTCAAGGTCTGGCCAGCCTGGGCTGAGTTGCTTGGGCAGCCGGACTGAGGGCTGGGCCACGTCAGACGGGCTTGGTGGCTGGCATAGCTTGAGACCAGTTTCAGACACCGTTGGCCTGAGGCCAGTCTGAGACACGTTAGACAAACCTGACCTTGGGGCCGGCCTGGCTGGGCTGGGCTTGCTGGATGACTTGGGGTAGGCCTGAAGCTTGGGCCTGAGGCTGGTGGGCTTTGGGCTGGGCCTGAGCCTAGTCTCAGACACGTCAGGCAAGCCTGGCCACCAGGAGGTCATGCTTTTCAGGACAAAAAAGCATTTTTAGCAATTGTCAGCACATTTTCGACAAAAATGGACCCATGGAGCTGGACGCCGACGAACCCCGAAAATTTCAAGGCCCGCCGGACAGGATTTTGGGTCCAGCCGACATGGGTTGGGGGGGGCGGCCCGGCAAAATTTTGGTCGGGGAGGGGGTTGGGGGAGGGGAAAAGCGAAGATTCTCTTTGGAGAAGAGATCTGAGCGCCCTTGGCCCCTTTGGGGCCGAGGCGAATTTTCAGATGCTTTGCACTGGCTTTCAACTGTAAGTACATATCATTCGCGAGGGATGGCCTGAACCTTGGCAAGAACGGTTACACGGTCAACGTGAGCGCCATCATCTCGGCCATCGACCCGAACAAGTGCGACACACCCCTGCTGGATTGGTGCCTTCGGAAAGGGCACTGGTTGCCTGAGGATCACAACAAGAAGTGTGTCCGGGCACGAGAAGCCCAGAAGAACTTGGACGAGGAGTTCCGTCGACGTACCCATAGGCTGTCCATTGGGGACAGGTATGCTTCATGAAGATGATGATTGCGGTACGATGTGGGTCAGTCCCCATCTGTTGCTTGCGTCACATCGACACTATCGCGGCGGAACGACTTTATGTCATGATTATATATTCATGTGTCCAAGATGACTGGATGTGTACATGGTTACATATTCCGATGACTACGACACTCTGGATATTCATGGATGGAACTATTACCTTATAGATGATATCTTTTCATTATTTATGCATTGTCCATGGTATCTGGGATGGCTATGATTTGCATTGATTACTCACCGATGTTTCTTCGCCGGAAATATGCAGACCGATCACGAGCAGGCCCCTCTGATGGACTTTTGTGGCCAACCCATTTATGGATGACAGCTGCGCGATGCGCAAATGCGGCAGCTGGATTGTTCGTTGGTGGTCAAATGACGTGACGATTGTGTATTGTATACACCTGCATGTGGAAGTGCGCTTCGATTGATGGATGAATGTTTCACTTTTCGTACAATCGAACCCGGCATGTTTCACAACGAATGAACGGTGTAGTGATAGCAAGTAAAAGAATGCACGACACGATTTCGTAGTTGAAGCCGTGGCCAGTGGAACGTTTTGTGGTGTTTGGACCGCATGATGAACAATGCGACCCAAATGGGGGATGTTAAAACCCACTAGGCCCCGTGCCGAAATTGGGTAGCTGTTCTGAGGTCCTTGTTGGTGTTGCTTCCCAAGTTCCATTGATCGCCATTTGGCTCAAGACACAATTGAGGTTCAAGATCTGATGTGTGACTGCATACATACGTGATCGGCATTGAGAGCGAAAACACTTCGCTTGCGCTGCATTTGTCAGGACCACTGGTTGTAACTATCATTCCTTCTCCCTTACAACGTTTACACGGGTTCGGCTATAACGGCATCGTCCGTATACACCTTTCTACGTGGTTGGTATTACAGCTTGAGGGTTCGGTGCATAGCGTCCCACGGGACGTCACCTTGCCGTCTCTTGACACTCTGCATGTTGGTCAACTTGCTGCTCCAAGTTGCACGAGCCGGTGATTTTTTCGCCACGCCGAGGGCAAGGTGTTGTTTATCTTCAACAATGAGGCCAGCCACTTCCTTCACTCTTTTAGGCACAGGGCGCGGGTTTGTTTTGGCAGAATCCAAGAATCATTTTTGCTCGGGCGGCGAAAACTGAGGTTGATACTGGAAAGCCCATGCACATGCGGTTGGTTTTCTAGACTACTCCCCTGCAAACGAACATCTAACCCCAAACATGTTTCTTTTGTTTGGGTGGTTCCCAAGAGGAGATTAACATACTGTTTTCCATGTCAATCTGCAGGGAAGTTACCCTTCATACCGTGCTGGGGATATACCATGCCCTGCCCATTTTGTCGATCGGTGCCTTTGGTGATGTTCGAAGGGTATTTGTCGATCATGAGACCAAGGTGGGTTTCCAAGTACTCGACCCCATTCTGACATTTGCCTTGAAGGGCAGTCTTCACCTGGCTGTGGTTGTCAAAACCAATGGTACCATTTTGGTTGGTAGGTGAATTCACCACCCATTTTAGAGCCGATTTTCGTGGTTGGATTGAATCGGCTGTTCGCTGGCTCACTGATTTGGCTTTTGAAAAGCCTATGGCCACCTGGCCCCATGATTCACGCCCCAAGGGGGGGGGGTGGTGGTGTGCTGGCAGCCCAGGCGCCTGGCCGCCACCGAGGCGCTGCTGCTGCAGTGCGCCGCCAGCCTGGCGAAGGCCGCCGCAGGCGAAGCGGCGAAGCGGCGAAGCGGCGAAGCGGCGAAGCGGCGGCGGTTTCGGGGGCGGGGGTGGGAGTGGGCCCAGAAGCTCGGTACATGAGTGCAACTGGAGGATTTTACACCTGAATGGAGTGATGTTAAGACTAGGGCCTAAATATTTAGGGGGGTGGGATGTCTCAGAATCATGTCCACTTGGCGTGATCTCATCCACAGCAGCCCATGCCCGTGTATGTCCTCAGTCCCGGCCAGGTCATGCAGAGTTGCTCGGTTGGCATTTGTGCGGGGGGTGGATCGCAGTCATTTCATGGATCGTTTTTTCTTCTCGCACGCTTCCTCAGACCAGCATGGAAGCTCTCAGAAGGGCCTTTGGACATGGAACAAAGTCTTAAACAAGTCCTGGGAGCTTTCATGTTAGTCTGGGGAGGGTACAGCGGTACCCATGCCCTTAGAGACACCCCGCACCTGAAGCAGCGGCCTTGAGGTGTGCGTGTGTGTGACATTTGGCACTCGGTTTGCGCATGCAATGGGATGTCCCCACTACTGTCCTCGCTTAGTGTATTTGTGATTGGTGCCTTGGAGAACCAAGTGATGCGGCACGGCAGAGTGCAATTCTTTAGTAACAACCAAACCCCCTCACAGTTATCACAGTTGACCTCTCAAGCTGGCCACCAATGCTGCGGCTGGGCTCAAGGGATTGGACTTAATGAGTTGCAGTTTAGTATGCTGTGTGTTAGTGGATATTTCAAGATGAGCGCGTGATCTTTTGTAGCGACGCTCTGGTGGTCAGCGCCAAAACTTGCTCGCCGGAAGATTTGGGCTGATTGGAAGCCATGGCCCTGTCAGAGTCGAAGAGCAAGGCGATTCTCTCAGACCTGATCAAGCACATTCAGGAGCAGGGTTGAGGGAGTTGCTCATACTGTGATACCAATGGAAGGCCTTCCAAGTGCGGTTTCCTGGTATCATGTGTGGGAACCACCCCTTCCCACGGCATGGTTCAGGAGCAAGGGGGTCAAATCTCCTCCGAGAAGCTATCCGCGTTCTACCAGAAGCATCCTGCACACCACGCCCTTGTGAAGAACATGCGAAGCTTTTGTGAGAAACACCCCGACCAGATTACGATCTGCGCTCAGGCCGGAACTTCTCACTATGGTCTCCGTGCTGCTCAGTTGAAAGAGAAAATGGTCGTGGAGAAACTATGTGCTTTTATCGGGAAGCGCGGTGGGTCCGTGACGTTGGCTGACTTGGAAGGCTTCAACACCCAGAATCCTGCGTGCACGAGGGTAATCCATGCTGAAGGATATGCTGCTGTACATCAGTGTTTCTCATTTGTTTTGGATGTGTAAGCATGTTGCATTCGTTAGCAAAACCAAGTAGTCTACCATGTCACCTCACCTTTTTTGGTTTTGCTTGCTGCGGGCAGTACTTCTGACGGCTGTTACTGTTACTGTCATCGTTGCCGGTGTCAATGGTGCTTCGGCCTCATGGTGTTCCTTGCGGGAGGCGTTGGGTGCAGGTGTTCGTGGTGGTGTTGGGTGTAGAAGCTGTTGGTCGTTGCAGGTATTTGTTGATTGTGAGCGTGGGCTCATGTGACTTGCGTGGCTCTCGGGAAGAAGTTTGTGGTGAAATGTTTAGTGGTGGCATTGATCATGGACCGTTTTCTTGTTTTTAGGAAGCTTTTCTCGCAGCATTTTTGACCCGGTGAGCATTCTGCTTGTGTTGGGGTTGATGCTTTGGCCAAAGAGGACGGAGTTTTAGCGAGTTCCTCCAGAAGAATTCCAAGAAGTTCGATGTTGAGCAGAGCAAATCCGGTGTGCTCTCCAAGGCCTTGGGTTTCCAAAACACGACGAAGGTTTCAGGTTGTGTTTGCGCAGAGCTCAACATTGAAGCACCAGGCGACCGCAGGTTTTAGTCCTTGGTTCCATTTACTAGGGTTCCAAAATGGATACCCATTCTTGACCCACAGCCAGGTGTCCGTGAAGAAGCTGAGCACAGTCACAGAGGACATGCGGGCGGCCGCGAAGCTGGCGCTGCATGTGTCAGAACGCGGAGGATCCATGCTGGCCTCCAACATTCACGCCTACTATGCAGCAAACCCCCAACACAAAGGGGTCATTGGGAAGTTGCGCGACTTCTGTGCAGCGCACAAAGGCCTGCTGGTGTGTGAGGGAAACCTGGGAGAGACCAAAATCAAGCTGCCGCAGGTGTGTTGCTACTTCTTGCGCAACGCCTGTACAAAGAAAACCGACCACCAAGGCTTTCTGCACCTCAACCCTCCACCTGGAGCAGTTCACTGTTCTTTTGGTCAGAAATGCATATTTGGGCATTTTGCGCAGATAGAAGCGCAAAGTGGAGCCCAGCCGAGTGCTGGCGAAGCTGTTGTGGCAGCCAACTTGGCGTTGTTTGTGCATCAAAATGGTGGCTCCTTGACCGGCGGCAAGATCTCAGAATACTACAAGAAGCATCCAGAACATAAGCCAGTCATCTCGGAGCCTGGGTTGAGAGTTTTCACTGCCTGCTATGATGGATTATTTGCGTTTGCAAGAGCCCAGGGCGACGATGGACGACTCACTTTGGCGCCTTTGTGTTGTCACTTCTTGCAAGGCGTGTGCAAAGGAAAAAAAGATCACGCTGGCAAGCTGCACACCATGCCCCAAGCCACGGACTTGCTGCATTGTACGTACGGCCCCGACTGCAAACATGGACAGACCATTCTGGAGGTTGCCAAAGGGCGCTTTGTCAAGCCCAGCGTGCCCAGTGCACCCAGTGCGCCCGACACTCACGAGCGCCCCAAGACCAGTCATCGCGAGGTGCTGGTGAGTGAAGTCCGGTGGAGCCACGACTGCATTAAGGCGACCTTCCGCGATGGCAAGCTGGTGGTCGGCACGTTGCTGGAATTGCTGCAGGAGAAGCTGGCCCCTTCCCAGCTTCCACAGATGGAGGTGCTCGAGTTTGATGGGTCCTATTACGTCATCAGCGGCAATCGCAGGTTGTGGGTGTTGAAAGAACTGCAGAGGCTGACGGGGCAAGAGGTGAAGGTTCAGATGAAGTGCCGCAGTGTGAAGCTGAGTGACTTCCAGACCATTTCTCGGATGTTTACAACGAAGAACCAGGGGGAGTCGGTGGATTTCTACTGCAAGGACCGGCAGGAGGCACTCCCGGGAATGTGCTTCGCTTTGGCCGCAAAAGACCCAGAGTTGGAGCCTACTCCATTGGATGTGGCGCTTGGCAAGAGCATTGGTCAATCTGCCGGTGTGGGCTTGATCGAGCTGTACCAGACAGAAGCCTGGCAAGGCGCGGATGTCGACCGAAGTTTGTTGGACTACCTGCAGCAGAAGCCGCACCTTTTCAATGTCGCTGAAGGCAACAAGGTTCAACTTACACCGCCCTGCAGCATGGAGGCGATGAAGCTGGCTTCTGTGGCTGCGTCGGGCGGGCGACAGGCCACTTTCCACTTAACCGGCTTGATCACAAGCATTGCATCTTTTTTAAGTTGGTCGATTCTTTTGCCTCCAGCTTCCCACCACCTGTGCGCTGCCGAACTTCTTGAATTGCCTCAGTTCTGTCCAGGCACCATTGCAGCTTCAGGAAGATGCAGAGCTGTCGGATAGTGGCTTGCTCCTCTAGTACATTGTTATGCCCTCTTTTTATGCGCTGCTTTTTTGCCACTATCCTTCAATCGATTTCCAGTCGAGCAGACGTAAAACCCAGGCTCAACTGGAGATGCGGAGGAGGACGGCCCAGAAGCGCGGCTGCAAGGGGCCAGAGCTTCCGGGCACCGCTTGAGATAGAAAGGACTCTTAGTTCTAGCCATGAGTTTCCTGGATGTGGAACCTGCTAGCTTTGTGTGGAACCTGTTTTCTGGAGTTGGCGCCTGTGCCTTCCACGCCGCCAAGGATCAAGAAGGAGACCATCTGGATTCAGAGAGGCAAGGGAGACAAAGAGTCGAAGCTCCGCTTGAGCCCCACTGGAAATGTTTGGGCCATGCACAAATACATGCACACACACAGACACACAGACACACAGACACACAGACACACAGACACACAGACACACAGACACACAGACACACAGACACACAGACACACAGACACACAGACAACAGACACACACACACAGACACACAG